ATATTTCGAACTAGGATAAATAAGCACATATATAGTACAGAAATAAACAACTAGCTAAAGTTGCTGAATTAAGCTTTCCATTCAATTCCTCGATGGACATTGAAATACAAGATTTTGGCTTTTGAGTAAGTCTCTACTAAGATTCAGCGACGTGAAATCATGACACTTCATGGAGAAATTAAATATAGATAGATGGGAAATGATCAGCTTATTCCCACCACAGGGCTCTTGAACAGGGTCCTTGGAACATTCATAGATGGAATTCCGTCCTTTTACCCTTTCTAACATGTTTTTGGACAGTTTGGCTTGCTCAGTTGAACAAATTTCTCATCTCCAAAGAACCAAAAAAATGTTGGTTTTGAGTTGAAAAGTTATAAGTTGTCTATTTAAGGCATCATGTTTCGGGGCTGAAGCCAAACACTAAATACGCTGACTAAGATGCCGGTGCAATCCTTTGAGATGATCTCAGTCAACGTTTCGATTCTAGAAGTAGACATTAGAACTTTGTCATTCTAGGGAAAATAAGCTTATTTAAAAACCGATAGAGGAGTTTTCCCAAAAATGGCATAAGTAGGTTTCACGATGCCATTGCATTTCATTTAGCCTTGCCTCCTAAAACATTTTTCCCTCTCCAATTGTCTGCAGTTTCGATCTAACCTCAAATAGGATCTGAAATTAAGTAGTGGCCATTTTAGTGATGCAGTCGTAATCATCCACACAGCCATGGGTGTTGGTGAGTCAGAGAGTATAACTATTCTAAATCACAGTTATTTAAGAATTGCCGATGATGAAAACTTGTACTTGCAATTGCAATTGACAATGTTAATTATTTTCTACATGCTTGTTTCATGGCGCTTTGTGCACATTAAATCGATCATCCTGGGTTGCTTAATGTTGCTTAAGGAATGATAATAGAGTTTGTACCTAATTGAAATTATTAGGCCTCATGAGCCCATTGAATTTCACTTCGCCTTGCCTCCCACAACATTTTCTCATCTAGAGCCGATGACAGTTTCATCAACTTGTAGCTTGGTGCTAGGACTGCTTCCGCGCACGAAAGCTGCTCGAATCTGGAATAAGACATGCCAACCATAGCAGGAGAAATAGTACTGACCACATTCTTAGAAGTCAGACCTTGCCCGGGGGTATCGGATTTTAAGGGTCACTATTCAATGCTTTGAGGAGCATCTGACTCAACTCTGGATCGTAGCCAATATTAGATCAGCTCAATCGGGCTTTTCGGGCAAAATGCTCCGGGCTGGCAAAACTGGAGCTTAATCCTTTCAGCTACTACCACCGACAAGACTTGGAACTGGGATTCAAGCTCTTCGTTAGGCATCACTTTACCATTATAACCGACGAAACCATATGCAATTGCGTTCGTGGCTGAGCAGAGTTCAGAGTTAGTTGAGCCTCAATCCCAAAGAGCATCTTCCTGAGGGTGCTCATTCAGATTAGAGAATAATACAACCCAAAAGCGCGACCTGTTAACGTCACCAAGACGGACACTAAAATAGCCAATAGTTCCAAATATCCCTGTCTTCTGTCTGCACAAAGATAAATAAGCATACACATGAGTTGAATTTTCCTGTTGGATCTAACTCGGTCTTTAATCCGACTTATTTTTCCATATTCTCTCATTAGCCCCTTGCAGGTATAATTATTTCTTCTATTCAGGACTGGCTCGCAAATCTAATATTCAAATGGCGCTAAGCCATAATTATACATAGTTTCGTCTTGCTGCTTCTTCTTCTGAAAATGTATGAACAGCATATAAAGAATATACTGAAGGCATTTTCAAGATATGTATTTTGTGATGCTTGGGCACCTTTCGAGACAAGATTGGTCTTGAAAATAATCGGTTCCACAGCTTTTCACCTATTCTCTGCCTCGAAGCCGATTTGGCTGCCAAGGGTGGGTGTTGCAGACTCGAATACTGTGGGTGCGGTTCCTCAATTGACCGGCTGCTTCCATCTTTCCCTGGTCGTTCATAGCTCTTAATTCTTCCCAATCTTAACATAAGCAGAGTCTACGAAATAAGGTACTGGCCAATCCAAGTTTCACTCTGGTCTCTTCTAGCCATCCTAATTCAGGTAGTGTGACTTAGGGAATGGCTATGGAGTTTACCTCATAATGGCATGAATTTCTTGTTGAATTGTGTTGGTTTGACCTTGTTTGCGCAGTTTTGTCGGAGCGTCAGAGAGACTTTGTAGAACGTACCTAGTCCCGTGTCCTCTGCCATAGTATTCGTGATTTCCAGCATTGGGCTATTGGCTGGGTACATTCTTAAACGCTTCGCCGTCATGATAAACACACAATTACAACTTATCAAAATGACTTATCACTGACGATGCCGACTGCGATGCCGGGCATGTACTAATGCAATGGTCAAATTCTGTAAATCACGAATACTATGGCAGAGGACACAGGACTAGGTAGATTACACAAGTTCTCTCTGATGCTCCAAGCAAGTTGAGAAAACAAGGTCAAACCAACAGTATGAAGCTAAAGGAGACTGCAACCAGACTGATGGCCACATCATCTTGGTCTTCATATAAAATTTCTTGATGTATCGTCTCCCAAAAGATTTTTTTATTCTGCCTGGCCTGGTATTTGAATCCGTGGTGTGGCCATAAAGTTACGCCGCATTGCCCTTCAGCACGACTGCCAGTTCGTCGCAGACAGTAGTGAGTAGACGTGTTTTTTGAGACGAAATATATTTATTGGGGGGACATTTATTTAAAATGAAAGTGCATGAAGAAGAGATTCGTAGTACGATCTCACCAAAAGAGGACGGTTGGATCCCGTTGATGAGGTCCACAAGACCTCCTCCCTTGTTTTGGGTGAAAACGGAGACCTTTTCTCATGTCTTGATTTTTCCGTCGTGCCTTCTTTCAAGAAAGATAGGAGAATTAGTGAGAAAGTAGGGGGATAAAAATAGTACTTAAAAAAACCCTCACACTTTCTTCTGATATTACATCTTTTAGAGAGAAATATGACACATTATCGAGATCCTGCTGCTACAAGATTGTTTGCTCCTGTGGTAAATCTTATGTTGGTGAGACATGCCGACCTATTCGACAACGATTGGTGTAACACAAAAATGTTAGTAAAGGAAGCTGGGTTTAATGGTCAAAAGTGGTCGAACACATGGTAGAAACTGGATATGAAATAGAATGATCTTAAACTAATGGGCTTGATAATTATGGTACGTCGAGATTAAAAGGAAGATTTAAAAAATTATTGAAATTAATTGCTTCGAAAATACGTTGAATGTGAGAAACGGTGGTAGAAAGTTGAGTTGGAGCTACTTATGTTTGATTGATAGATTGAAGGAGAGAGAAGCTGTTGAGCTGCCGTCACAAAGAAGGCGACTCAATTTGTCTGCTTCGTGATGGTTCTGACTACACTCACACTCGTCCAACATCTTAGATTAAGCTCATCAACTAAACCACACGTGCCAGATTACGCAGTCTTAGTCATGCCCTTTCTTGGGTGGCTAAACGTTAATGACCCTAGACTAAGAGGTTAGTACAAGTGGTTTCGCAATTCGACTTACACGCTTGCAAGCTTATATCTCATACTTGCTTACGAACTTATTCACTCTCGGTCAGGGCTTTCTCTGGGGTTATTAAGCCTTGATGATGGACGAAAGCTCAGCCCGTTTTCACGCGAAATGAGGGAGGATGTCTCGTGGACTACGTCAACCTGAACATACTATAAAAGCCAAATGTCTGCAGTACAATGGGATTCAATCGTCCTCTTCTGGTGAGATCCACCAATGAATCTCTTCTTCACGTACTTTCATGCTAAACGAAAATCCCCCAACAGTGTTATCTCAGGAGATTCATCGAAACCCAGTTGCTCTTTGTAGCTAACATGTATTTGCTATTGTTTTAGGAAACGTTGCTTATTTTCGATGTGATTATATTTCGAAACTATCCATAACTCTTGAACAAGAGCTTTTTCAACATAAAATTTGGTCTGGCAGTGGCTTGGATTGCTCTGAAAGTTGCGCCTGTTCTCTTTGACTGGTGAGGCGGGGTAACTTACCTTCACTTGATTTCGAGAAGCTGGGTTCGAATCTAGTTGTGGATAAGGATAAAAGTATGAGGTAAAGTCGAAAGTGCACTCTAATCTAAAGGATGAAACCTAATGGAGGACAAGGTCATGAGAAATCCGATCGCATCCGGATGCCAACTCAAATAAATGTGGGAAAAACTACATATTCACCCTAAGCAACCTAAGCTGACAATGTTCTTATTCAAGAATTATTAATAATCTCAAAACATACTCATAGTGAAAATAGGTTACCACATCACGGCTGCATTAACTGATGAAACTAGCGACCCGGACTAATGGACATATAAGTAAGTCTTCAAATAAATGCAGGATTAATTTTCTAATAGCTTCTTTTTGCTCCAGCTTTTTGCTTTCTTCGGAAATCCATTTCGCTTTTCGGTTTTAATTATGATTTCGAGACTACTAGTGTTTCACATATATGAGATGTTTTCATCCTATTTTGCTTAGACAATCATATGAATAGAGCTAAAATTTCAATTTAAATCCTCTTAGCCCTGGCTTATAAAAAGATATTCTCATCCAGGCAGGAGAAGAGTGAAGTTTAGAGCTCGCCTAAGCTGTTCTCATCAGCACCCCCAGCAGGACTCGAACAATGAGAGCGCAGTCTATAAGCTCGGCGCGTTAACGACTACGTCACATTGGCACGTGTGACTTTAGGTCCCGGAACAGATGGGAATTTCAAGGAAAGCCAGACATTTTACGATAGCACCTTCTGTCGTGGGATTATCTATGAATAAAAGTCGTATTTGCTATAGCAATCAACCAAATTACTTATTTTTCATTTATACATAGCTCTTCGAGACTAGCAGTAGACCAAAGAATATTGGCAGCTTATTTAACTTACGAAACCATAGCTTTTGTCATGTGCGGTACGGTCGTTTTCACGTCTACTTTGCTTTCTCTTCAACTCGCCAATCCTAGTTGCTGAATCTACCTACGGGTGGCACTTCGTCTTTGGGACAAACTGAGGAGAATGCCGCGGTACTGATCGACAGGCTGGCCGTCGGCTCGACTGACATTCTACAGAGGCTGGAGACAGAGACCAGTCTTTCGCAGCCGGAAGGTGAGACAGCTTCCGGCACAGTGACACCACAACCATCTTCTACCGCACCGTCGGCACCCTTTGAGGCCGTCTCGCCGTCAGGAGACGCCTTGGTCACCATCCCAAGCTCGATGGGTTCGGAGACAGTTCATGCACAAACAATCATCACTGGCGGCTCTGATCTACGCCAGAGCGCAGCCACAGATTCCAACACCTCTTTACCGCCTCCGCCGT